TGAACTGTGTGATTTTAAAGCAGTGAACTGTGTGATTTAAGGACTGTCTGAGCTGTGCTGCAGCTCCTGGGAGCCCCCAGGGTTTCGTACCATCTGCAGTGTCCATGAGACTGGAGCGGTTGGATCCCTTGTGCATCCCCTTGACAATTCCAGAGGGAGGGAGGTCGATGGCTGCTGGCCGTGCTGAGGGGGTGGAGGTAGTTGCTGTGACATCTGGGGGGACTGAGAAACTTTCTAGAAAAAGAAGAAAGCTGCTAAATACACCTTTTATTACCCTCCCCAATGTGCAAAGTGTCACCTGTTACCAACAATCCTAAGGATTGAATGGGTTGGATGGATGGGAACCCTCATTAATGCTAAAAACTCTGAGGCACAGCAGCTGTTCTGGAAACCAAAAACCAAAGGCACAAGGTTTTGTCCATGTCAGGAAAGTGCTTCAGCAAAAATAGAATTCCTGTTCTTGGTTTCTAACCTTGAAGCTCAATCTCTTGACTTTCAGTACTGTAAAAAAAATAGATAAATATATTTTTTTTAAAGTTTGAGATTCACATGAGCTCTGAAACATCCAAAGTCCAGAACAAATCTCTCCCTCACCTATGCACTGATCTCTCTTGCTAGAATTCTACTATTTAGCTTTTTTTGTGAGTGAGGGCTTTTGAAAACAAAACACGTGGGAATTTGACCAAAGCAGATCAGCAAAAATTGTGTTGGGTTTCAATCCCTTCCAGCTGGGTGGTTACAGAGCTTGGCCAGCAGCTACAGAATAAATCCAATGAAAAGGGTGAGCTGGGTCTTACTTGTGCTTCAAGTTGCAAAAAAAAAAAAAAACTCTTCAAGTTGTCCTGCCTTTCAGCTGAGGCTGCAATTGCATCCTGTAGGAATTCTCCAGGAATTCTCCTGCAGGAATGTCTCTTAAACAAGGGATTTTTTGCTTATGTGGGGTTTCTTTACACAACCCAGCAGGTTCAATCATCTGATAGGGCAAGAATATTCTATTCTGGCTTAACTGTTGCTTACAAAGGAAAAACCCAACAGTCTGAAACGACGGGTTGGGTTTTACAGATAGTCTGAAATCCCAAATAATTCCCACTGGCAGAGTTTTGTGATTGATTCTGTGTTGATTTCCCCTTTTTCTAACGAGAAAAAATAACCCATTTCTGCATCCCTTTGGAGACACAGTGGCAAGGGATATTTCTCATGCACTGAACTGCTAAAATCACTGGAAAGGATGTGGATTTCTACAACCCAAACATCTGCAGGACTTTTTACTGCACTCAAGAGAGAGCTGCACAGAACTGTGTGAGAGTTCCTTTCATTTAAACCAGGTGTTAACATGGGATGAACGTGGCAAATAGAATTCTGACAAAGATTCAAAGCTTCTATTTTGCCTGAGACACTAATTAGATTAGACAGCAGATATTCTGGAGGTAAAAAACTGTGTTACCTTTAATTCACTGCAAAAGGTAATGTGGCCTTCTGCATGCTCCAATTAAAAACAGCCTCTCTGCTTCAGTGACATTAATTATATTGACTACATTTTATGGGCAATCTCCTCAGTTTTCCATTTCAAGAAACAATTTGCATCCCAGCAAATAAACAAACAAACAAACAAACAAAAAATACCAGCAATAAAAAGATAAATAAGTGAAAGATAAAATCACCAGCACTTCTATGCACTGCTTGCCCCAACCCAGTTAAGCAGAAGCAGAGAGCACATGAAATACAGACAATGTCCTATGGTGCAGGAATTTCCTCACCAGCAGCTAAAAAGGACAAACATACACAGAGCAAAAACAAACTTGGCCATTTCATACAGAAGCATCAGCAGCAAGGAGCACCTCAGAGCCTCAGAAAACTGAGCCTGGGGTATCCAGATCTGTAGATTTTGCTCCATCTCCTCAGTACCTGGATGCTCTGGTCATTCCTGACAGTCATGGAAGAGCTGGGCTAAAGCTTTACTCGTCTAACTCTGTTTTTTAATGACAGGATTATTTGTTCACACACACAGCTGGATTTGGTTCTTTTCCTTCCCTGATCTAACACAAACAATAAACCATCAGGGCTCAGAGCAAAATGAGGATGTTAAACACAGAATTTCCCCACTCCACAGGCACAGACACCCCTAAGGGATTCATCAGGACACAGATGAAAATGCCACTTGCACTGGGCAGCTCTGTGCCCACGGGAGCTCCCAAGAGCTGGAGACATAAAAGCAACACAGGACACAGAGAGTTGTGCCTCCTGCTCTGTCCACACTGTCCCTGGAGTCTTCCCTGCTTCCAGAAGCTGCTGCTCCCCCACTCTCCCTTTTACAACCACCTCAATCTTCTGCAATTCTTCAGGAAAAACAACAGCACGATGGTGCAACTCCAAATCCAACCATCCTAGCAAGTTCCACCAACAGCAGCTAAACTCTTGCTCTGAATTTCCCTTCTGCTTTATCAACACGGTCTGCACTCGAAGCGATCGGTTCTGTTCGGACCCAGCTCCTACCTATTCGAGTATTGGCAAAAACATCAGCTAGTGACCCACTGGTCCCTTTGCCTTCTCCATGGGAAAGTGTAGAGGATGCTGATGAGGATGTGGATGACCCCTGAACAGATCGGTTGATCCAAGACTCAGCATTCTGTAAGCTCTGGTGCAATGCAGCAGAGAGAGCAGCCTGGCGCCTGAGCGAGCCCTCGTCCTCGGAGGCGGAAGACGTGTCTGTGTGGAAGCAGAAAGAAAATCTAGCTGCTTAGGGAAAAGCACATGGCACTGAACATGCTCTTTCCAATCACATATCAACAGCACAGGAAGATCTGTTTTCCACAGGCTGTTACATCAGCCAGACCAGAGGTTAAAGCAGCGGAGTTGTCAGTGGGAAGGCACTCAACCCCTGTTTGATTCACCTCCTCACACAACGTCCTTCCCCTGGGGTCTCCAAGCCTAGAACTTAACTCTCATTACTTTTCCATTCACGTTCCATAATACCAGATGCTGTTTTGCCTAACTCTGGTCATTCTGAACTGGAAAGTGAGGGGTCGGGGTCGTTGTCAAACTGCAAAGTCCCAGGAACAAAGAAAACGCAGGAAACAACTGTGCCAAGGCCACAGCAGAAAACGCTTTTGTCTGGGGCTCTAAATGGGGCCCTTTCAATTGCAGAAAACAAACAAAAAAGCCCAACCCCAAAACAAAACAGAAATCTACAGCAAGGAACTGCTTCCTGTGTGTCCCAGAGCACAGATACCTCGGCTGTCCCAAAACTGTGAACTAATTATTTCATTACCATGATTCAAGGACTCGGTTCTTGAGATGTTGAGTTGTACAGTGCTAAACACAAACAGACAGGTGGCTTTGGCCTAAAATTTAGGTGTTTAAATTTAGAATTTAGAATTCTTCGAAGTGATTTTCTGCCTGCACTCGAGTGGTAAATCATACTAAACCACATTCTACCCACTTGGCAGAGTGGAACAGAGTTATGAGCTGAGGCAAAGGACTGACTCCAGCCATGCTGGAAGTGCTGACCTGGATTTGTGTGACTCCCCCAGCACAGGACGTGCTGCAGTCCTGGACAAGTGAGCACAGAGCTGAGACCCAAGCAGACACCAGGAACATGCATCAGCCCCCCGGAGAAAGGAAGGGAAAAAGGAAGTGTGATAAAACAGGAAGTGAGGAGGAGGAGGAGGAGGAGGAGGAGTGACATGGGCTAGCAGAGCACTTTCAGAGCTATGAATTCACCAGGAGATGTGGATTCATAACATTCGGATGACTCTGTCAATCCAAATGGCTGCGATGCTTCTGCACAATGGGACACAACACAGAAATCACTGCCAAAAATCACACGGACTCATTTGTCAGTCAGTGCATCCAGCTGCTGGAAAACAGAGGGTTACTGATATCTGCTGCACATGCACCGTGTCATCCAGGGACTCTGCTGCAGCCAGCACGTGGCAGGGGTGAGGGAAATCCTGCAAGGAGTGGAATCCCAGCAGACCCCTGAGAGAACAAACATCGCTGCAAACCCTCCTCTTGTGTGCTGAGCATCAAACAGCAGTGAAACAAGACGTGAGTTATCCATCACAAACAGCATTTGAGGGAAGAAGTGGCCTCAATCCAGACCTGCTCAGCTCTTTTTGAACCACAGAACCATGGAATACCCCGAGCTGGATCCACAAGCACCATCCAAAACCAATTCCTGCCGCGGGACATCCCAAGAATCCCACCACGCGGCTCTTTTAAGAACTCCTGGAAGAGATCTCACTTCCCGGCCCTGAGAGAGGTCCTGGCAGCTGCGTGAAGAGCTGCAGCACTGCAGGTTTGGAAGGTGCAGCCCTGGCACAGCCTCACCTGGGGGAGTGCAGGCGTCGGCCGGGGACTGGACGAAGGTGGAGCGGCGCTTGGTGGGCATGGGCAGGGCCATCTTCTGCTCCTTGTGCTTGGCCAGCGCTGCCTGCACGGCTTCCGTGTGGATGTCTGTGAGAGGGAAGGGCACACCTGCCTTCAGCAACAGCGACAGCACCGAGGTGAAGCCTTGGCATCTCACATTTTCTGCTTTTCAAATCCTCTACTGCGCTCGTGCACGGATCTAAACTCCGTGCGAAGCGTTACTCAACTGTCTTCACGTTTTAGTTATTTCAGTCGTCACGTTTCAGTAAATAACTCCTTTAGTTAACTATCTATTTTAGTTAGATAAAACAACCCCTCTGGGCCTGTGATCCAAGGTCACTCTACAGCCCCAAGCCCTGAAAAGCATCAACCAAAGTGAATTGTTTGGGGGAATATGACTTCAATACCTGAAGCTGTAATTGGAGAATTAACCCCTGATATGTAAATGAACCAAACTTATAATTGTCTGAAAAACTCATGCCTGTCATCCAGCTTGGCTGCAGCCCCTTGGAGGCTTTCTGACTGCCCAAGGTGTATAAATGAAGGCCTTTAATAAATACCCACTTTATTCTCTTAACCTTGTCTAGCCTCTGCTCTAGGCAGCCACTCCAAGGTGTCAAAGGAAGGAGAACACCCAAACTGCAAACACCTCCTTCTGCCTGTCCATGATCCCATTTTCAGTGCCTGCCCAAAGACTCTCTTCTGCCAAGGAGTAGCAGCGCCTTTTATTCTCTTTTTTAAACAAGAGGTTCCTGAAGTTAGCAAGCTGAATGCAGGCCCAGGTTTGTTACTCTGGAAAATTCTGCTTTAAACTCATTATATCCCCGTGTCTCTGGCAATTTTTACAGAAATCTCAATCCTGGCAGATTGTTCCCCTTGACTGAAGATTATCCTAAAATCTGCCTGTGCACCATTTAAATATGCACACAGTGTGTGCAGCCTCAGGTGCAACTCAGGTCTATAAAGTGCCAGTTGTCTGATTTAGGAAAAACCTTCTGCTCCCAAATGGATGCAGATTCCATGCAAATCTTGGGGGTTTAACTGTGCCTGTAAATGCAGGCTGATTAGGAACTGGAACAGGCTGGGATGGGAGGTTTCCACCCCTCTGCAACCCCCAGAGCTCTTTGAAGGAAGACACATCACTGATGAGGAGAAATCTACATCATAAAAACCAGCTATGACCAGGGAGAGCGTTCATTTCTACACCTACATTCATTTCTCAGATTAATGTATTTTAATTCTGCTTTTGCAAAACCCAAACCAGGCTCTCCTAACGCTCCATGAAATGGTGGGGTATGACAGTGTCACTGGAGAAGGAAGATTTAATACATTTAATTTGAGAAGAAAACTTAATTCTTGTTATTGTAAGGTGAAAAACAAAACCAGGGAACAAAAAATTAGATGCCAACACCTTCTCCTGAAGCAAAGCAGGAGCTCAGCAGGTGCTGGGCAGCCCTTCCTGCTGCTCCAAGCTCTCAGAGCACAGCAATCCCTGGAACTGATATTACCTGTCACCTCACTGAATGTTATCACCTACAGACGTGGTTAAAGAAGGTTTTTTTAAATCATTTTATGAACAATTTACACCAAACAATTTGCATCTAGCAAGAAAATCAGGGTGGCATTATTCGGTTTTTTTTTCTACTAGAAGTGGTTTTGATTCAGCAGTTGCACCCCAGAGTCTGAAGTTTCATTACAGAGAACCACCAGGGCTGAGTGATGATAATTTTAATTCCTGGAGAGGAATCCAGGGGGCTCCTGCCCCTCCCTTACCAGATCGATAACGTTCATCCCTGGCTCCCCCTGAGCGAGCTCGGTGGAATTTGGATGAGGATGAGGATGAGGAGGATGAGGCTGAGGCTGGAGCTGCAGATGGAACGGGCATCTGAGGTCTGGATTCCTTCTGTAATGCTGGATCAACCCCTGGAAAAAAGGGAAATAAAAAGGAGCCTTTTTAGAGCACACTCTTGCCTTCTCCCATGACAGGGCTGTGGATGTCAGCAGCTGCTTTGTCCCTCAGTGTCCCAGTGCTTGTTATTGACTGGAAAACCAATAATAAACCAGCAGCAAGAGCCTTTGCTGTTCCCATTAATCACAAACACAAGGAGACCTCCAGTTGTTCTTCCTTTCAGCATGTCCAGTGCGTGGCTTTATCATCCAGGAAAAGTTTGTTTTTCCCCATTAAAACAGGAAGTAAAATAGATAATCTGATAAACATTATAATTTCATATAATTCAGCAAAAGCAACTTGGAATTGTTGCTACTGGAGGTTCAATTCTAAAATGAATCTGTGTGTCACAGGGAAGTTTTGAAAATTAAAACCCAGAGGCCACCCAGCTGTAATTTCCTCCAGGTTGTCACCTGGAGTCATGCAAAAATCCAAGAGCAACTGTGTCATCTTCAGAATTCTCACAAACTACCAAAGGATCAGAGAAATGGAGAAAAAACCACAAATCCTGGGCTTCCATTCCAGTTCCACCACTTTTGAGGTGTGTGGTTGTAGGTAAACTCAACAAAAGTGAGTGCCTTGAGCTCAGGGACTCACAAGAACAGCAAATCCCCCTGAAGCAGCTGCAGGAATCTCCACGAGATCACAGAATTCTTGAGGCTGGAAAAGCTCAATATTTCTCTTGTAGAAAGACTTTTTAGATTCCTCATCTTCCTTCATTCATCTCCTGTCCCTTCTAAAATCCCAAAAAGCAAAATATTATTGGAATATTACTGAATGTTAGAGCAAACCAACAATGCACTTAGTTGTGGATTGTTAATGATTCTTTAAACTACCATGCCAAAAACTTTAACTGTAGTTAAAGAGGAGATCTGCTAGCCAGAAATCCTCAAACCACATCAGGGGATAAACAATTACTCCCCCTTTCCACTGGTGGTTTTTGGATATAGTAACACATATCAGAGTCCTGTATTTGCTTATCAAAACACACTCATCCCCTGTGTAAATGTGAGAGTGGCACAAAAGGCTGAACGGAAAAGAAATTTCTGTGGTTCAGGTGCAGGATCTGGGCTCCAGAGCAAGATTATGAATTCAAAATCTCAGCTCACCCACATCCAAAAGCATCGATTTGTGTCCCTTCCTGTCACTCTGGATGACATTCCATTGATAACCACTTTAACCTCTTTGTAGCATTTATTTGCCTTCATCAAACCCTGCTGAGTTTTATTTTGTTCCAAAGACAACACAGCTTCACAGACCAAACAGAAAAGCTTCATGTTTCCTGAGCACTGAGTACTTACAAATTCAGGCACCCACTAGATGTCAGCAGCTGATTTAACACTATTTAAAATGAATTATTAAATTCATATTCAGTTCTCTTTTGTAAATCTCGTAGAAGCATCACAGGGCAAACATGACATTCCAGTTAGGAAGGGATCAGAGGTGGCTCTAAGTGACATGACACACACAGAACAAGCTCTTTGTTTCAATATTTTGCTCTGACATAATAACATGTTCCAGTGGCCTCACAAAGCCTTCAGACACCGAGGAGAGGAGAGTGTAAATCACTGATGGTTACACAACAAAGCAGCACAAGTGAGCCAAGCCTGGCAGGTGACAGGTGATTTATTTAATGCTCCCTTCGGAATAATCCTGCTACAGCTGCACTTTTCTGCTGGCAGAAACATGACAAATATGACAGAGGGATGAAAAATGAATTCTTTTTGATTGGCTTTCAAGGATGCCATGGATTTGTTGACTGTCTTTAGTTTCTAATGAGAATTGAGTGCTTTGTGATTCCTGTGTTTTGGGGAAGGGCCAATGATTTAGAGATTCAGAGACTGAACAATTAGAAGATCAACCAGGATAAATGTTTGCATGAATAACAAGGAGAGCAAGTGCCACATGCACAAGGAAGCAGCTGCAAACCTGTCACTCCACTTTCTGCAAACAGAATGGAACAGCAGTGCTGGGGCTGGACTGGCTATTCCTTCAAGATTATTTTTATTTTTTTTCCCCAAGCTACATACCCATAAAAACATGGAAATAACCAACTGGAGCCTGCAGGGTTTCCAGGGCAGCCTGAACACATTCCCAGAACCCAGGACACCTGGCCCAGCTCCAGGTGCTGTCCTTGCTGCTGATCCCCATCATGGAGAACTCTCTGGAATTAGGGATTCAGATTTTGGGATCTGCAGATTGCAGAGACTTTTCAGGAGCTAGCAGCTAGATGGACCTTAGTGGATATTTCATCAAGAAAAAAAAAAAAAGCATCTTTAGGTAATTAACAGTGCTGCCTTAACTCCTGAATAAGGAGGCAAGCTCCCAGAGGCCATGTGAATGGAGCACAGATGGAGCAGTAAAAATCTCCCAAATGATCCTGCTGGCACGCCCTGACATGTCACCTTCCCTCCCTTCCCTCTCATTTCACATCCATGAAATGGAGACATTCCATCAGCCAACATCAGGCCAGAGCTCAGAGAAACGGCACAAAATGCCAGCACTAAGGATTTTGTTGTTGTTGTTGTTGTTGTTGTTGTTGTTGTGGGCTAAATTAATTTTCTTCTCATTACCAAGGTGACCTGATTCTGAATCCCTCATGCATGACTTCCACGGGGCTTTTTCCAGCAGGAGATTCCCAGACACTGGGGCAGCTGAGTGTGAGATGGATAAAAAGCTGGAGAGCTGGGCTGGAAGGGCAATCAAACCTCTGGGTTAATTGGTGACCTCCATCATCCCAAGCCTCTGCCTGGACTTCATCTCCACTGGCAGCTCCAAAGCCCCCACAATTAACACAGCAGAGCCCAGTCTTGCCAAACAGTTCTTTTCATTCTCCTAATTAAACATTTTCTGAGACAAATCAAACACAGTGCCAGGGTTGGGGCCAGGATTGTATCATCTCAGGACAAAAGCAGGGCTGCCAAGAGCTCTGAACCACCCAAGGATTCCCCATTTCCTCCTCAGGCTCGAGATCTCCACTGGCACAAATGCTAGCCTGAGGAGTGCAAAACCTGCTCAACAAATACCTACTTATCAAAAAGGATTAGGCATGTGGATTTTTAGTTTTTTTGTTTCTTTAACTAACAGAAATAGATTTGATAAATAGGCAGCAACCAACTCACTGAGATTCCCATCACATCCTGCTCCAGGGAGTCCTCAGCACCTGGAGAGCTGTTTGTAACAAAAAATCTCCATTTTGAAGGCTAAATTACACTTTTTGCTTGCCTTGCTCCTTTCAGCACATGGCTCAGGCAGAATACACTGGATAAAACAACCTCAAACAAGGGAATGAGCCCCACCTTGAGATGAATAAACCAAATCCAAGCTGAGAACCAGCTGGAGAGCAGAACTGGGCAGTGCTTTGGGGTGGGAGAGACTGGAAGTTGACACAGGACAAATTTTATGTTCCCCCATCAAGTGCCTGAAGGGAACTGCTGTCATTTCCCCCCAGTCATGTGGTGTTGATGGGCAATAAATGCACTTTGAGCTTTTACTCTTTATCAATTTTTTTTTTTTTTTTGGCACTAGACCAGGCTCATTAAACTCCAGTTCAGGACTCCCTGTCACATCCAGTCACTGCCCCAAATCAGAACCAGACACATCAGTTTTTAATGGCTGAACATCTCAGCATTATCAGTAACAATTATTCTGGGTAAGCCCCAAAATAATGATTAAACACACATTCAGCCACGTCCTTCAGTTTACAATTACATATAATTATCCCACAGACAAGCAGTTGAGCTGCTCTGCATCTCTGAACCAAAGGAAACAATTGTACCCAAAGGATGTGACTTCAGCTACTCTGGAAAATAAAGCAACAAATTATAAAAATCCTTAAGTTTCTCCAACGAGGAATTAAGGTGGCTGAAGCACACAGCACAGACCAACATTGCAGTTCTGACATTTTTAAGAATATTTCCAAAAGCTCCACAAAATCCTGATTCCAGCCAAAGCAAGGACCCACCTTGGGTTTGTGGGACATATGGAGCCAGCAGCTTTGCTCTCTTCTTCTCATACCCCTTCTGTGTGATGTCCCCTAAAAACAAGCAAAGAAAACTCATTTAATCCCGTTAATATTTTGCATTTTGAGGTCTGCTTGTTTGGGTTTTTTTTTTCAGTGCCATGAAGGTTTCACCTGAACACAGCTGGAGAAAACCTGAAACTCAATAAATCCAAGCACATTAGGATTTCAAAGCTCCAAATTACAGAACTTCTGCAGTTTCCCTTGGGATCAGAGACCTACACTATCCACTATTTAAATGCAATAACTTGGATCACAGCAGCTATCTAAATGGAATATCAAAGCAGTGAAAAACTAAAAAGGGAAACTGGGAGTGCATGAAAATATTCTGTAACCACGAAACAATTTAGGCAAGCAAAGTGGGATAATTCCCAACCAAAAGCGTGAAGGGGGAAGTGCAAATTCAGAGCCTCATCTTCAACTCATCAAACAGCAAACAAAGCAAGTCCCCTTCAGCAGCTGCTTAAGGTTCCCCAAAAAACCGAGGCAAGAAGGATGGACAGAAATTCAGACTCCTGGCCAGCAAGCACAGCCCGGGTGCCAGGGTCTCACCATCCTCACAGGGAGGAATTTCTCCCGTGTAAGCAATTTTTTTTCCTGATGAATTGTCCTTCTCCAGTTCCCTGCAGCCTTTTCAGACACTGGAAGCTGCTGTGAAGTCTCCACACAACCCTGTCTGCTCCACCTGAACATTCCCAGTTCTCCCAGCTGTCTCCATAAGGGGCTCCAGTCCCTTTTATCAACTTTGTGGCCTCCTCTGGACTCGCTCCAACAGCTCCACATCCTTCTTCTGGTGGGGACAGGACTGGACAGAGGACTCCAGGTGGGCTCTCACAAGAGCAGAGGGGGAGAATCCCCTCTGGAGTGATTATTATTACAGTGATTACTCTAGAGACCAGAATAAGCATTTGTAAACTTTTCCCTCTTTTTAAAAAAAAAAACCCTAATCTGTCTGATCCTGGAGATGCACCATCTGGCTGCTGTCTTTTGTTTTAATTTCTCACATTACATCAGAACCACAAGAAAGACTGGAACCTTGGAGGGATTAAAACAAACAGCCCTGCAGCGTTTCAAGGCTCTTCGTAGCCTGCCCGCCACTTACAACCTCCCATCTCCCGAGGTGGGGAGAGATCAAACACACAGCACTAAGAAAAACAGAATTATTTGGTATCAAGCTAAAAAATCAAGCCACAGTTCCACGATGACAAGAAGTGAGTGATCACAAACAGGATGTTTTCTTTGCTGTCAGCCTGAACTGAGAGGGAACAGCCTCAGCTCTGGTTGCAGGGTTTGCTCAGAGCAGGATCCTCCTTCCACACACCACGAAAGGGGATTACAGGCTTCAGGCTCTGAGCTCCCAACACCACCAGCATCTCTGCTAAAACATTCCAGCTAAGTGCCCAGTTTGGCTCCAAAGGTGATTCGTGAAATGCCTGGAAAGGGAATGGATTCCATTCCTTGGCTCCACTCAAACACCAGTGGCACTTGAAACACCGAGAGCAGGAATTTCAGAGCTGGAGTGGGACTTAAAAGGCTTCAGATTGACAGAGGTTTAGATAAGATATTGGGAAGGAACTCCTCCCTGTGAGGGTGCTGAGGCCCTGGCACAGGGTGCCAGGGAAGCTGTGGGTGCCCCTGGATCCCTGGAAGTGTCCCAGGCCAGGTTGGACGGGGCTTGGAGCAGCCTGGGACAGTGGAAGGTGTCTCTGCCGTGGCAGGGGTGGCACTGGATGAGGTTTAAGGTCTCTTCCAACCCAAACCATTCCATGATTTCATCCTCTGACTCTTGCTGCTCAGGGCAGGGTGTGCATCTGCACACAGAATTTTATCTCACTCCTCTAACACCAGGTTTGAGTCAGGGCCCAACAAGTCCAAACAAATCCAGCAGCTGGAAAGGAGAATGTCCACAACGCACTGCAATGCCAAACAAAGCAGGAATTTCAGTGCCTGGTTGCAAGGCAGGGCTCAGGTGATGCTCAGCCCATACAGACAGGTACGTGCAGGGACAGGGACAGGGACACGTCCAGCTGAGCTCCCGTGTGCCCAAGGATGACTGGGTGACTGCAGGAGCTCCAAAACCCATCAGCTTTGCCCAGTCTGCCTCCAAATTCAGTTTACAGAGAAATGTGCAATGCCCTGAGCTGGAAGGGACCCACCAGAATCATCCAGTGATACCTAAAATACCCCAAAATCCCACCCTGGGCATCCCTGGAGCAGTGCCCGAATTCCCTGGGCATCCCTGGGCAGTGCCCAGCACCCTCTGGGGGAAGAACCTTTCCCTGCTATCCCAGCCTGGCCCAGCTCCAGCCCTTCCCTGGTGTCCTGTCCCTGTCCCAGGGGGCAGAGATGGGAGCTGCAGCCCCCAATGAGTCTCCCCTCAGTTTCTTCTCCAGCTGAGCAGACCCAGAGCCCTCAGCCACTCCTCCACACCTTCCCCCATCCCCTTGGGGTTTTTTTGGACCCTCTCCTACAGCTTCGGATGTTTTTGGATATGGTGGGACTGGAGGTGAAGCTGTCCCAGCCCAGAGCACAGAGTGACAATCCCTGCCTTGCCTGGCCAGTGACACTGGGTCTGGTGGCCCCCAGGACAAGGCCAAGGTGACCCTTTGGGCCACCACAAGGTGACCCTTTAGGCTCTCATGTCCATCTGGGAGGCACAAGGAGCCAGGGGATGGACACTCCAAGAAAAAAACCAAAAAGGGGAGGGATTCTCCTTCTAAGCCAACCCCCAGGTTTGTTCAGAGCTTGTTATTCTGTGATGGATTTCTGCACAAGATTTAATTGTACTCCTGACATCGGTGGTTACACACTGCATATAATGAAACATTTGCCACAGAAAATTGTTGGAACTGCTAAAGAAGACAATATCTACAAATAATGTAAGTGCATTATGAACAAATATCAGAACTTTAAGCAGTAGTAGCAACCCATTCCGTTTCACATGCTGGGAAACAAGAGAATTCTCTCCAATTACTTGTTCCACATTAATATCCCACCAATAAAACAAACCCATCCACACTGCAATGGAAGCAGAATGGTTCCCAAGCTCACATTTGGAAATCTGAAGCCAAGGTGAAATATTACTGAGCAGAATGTAACTCAGGTCACAACACTACCTGCAACCTCAGCTGTCATGTGGTGCACATGGTTGATATTATTGTTGTAAAAAGGATTCTCTGAGCATAAGCCAATAAAAATATAAAACCCTAATGCTATTTGGCAAAAGCAGGAAAGTTCCAAGAAGAAAAATTCAAGCAATAAATAAAATAAAGCTGTTAGATTCCTGGGACTCCCTGGCAGCACAATTCCAATTCCATCTGAATTTTTATTTTGTTGTAACATTAAAAAAAATAGATCAACAATTATTTTGACAAACGGACTGACAGTCTGAATCCTGCACAGGATTAGGAAATGTAAAGCCTCAATTTTGAGACCAACCCTAGTGAACTGGAACTGGGCAGCAGGGACTGAAAAGTTTGGGGAAGGAGATAAATCCGAATTCTTTCCGGAGCACCATACAGGTGTGAACCAAACCACAATTACCTGAAATAAAGAAATTAAAAAAAAAACAAACCACAGGGATTGTCCTCTCAGGAAAAAGCTCGTGTGCAGGCATGGGTGGCAGGTGTAGAGTCACCTCATGGGTGATTTGACTACTGCAACCACAACTGTCACAACCAAATTGCCACGTCAGCCTTGGGAACAAGAGTGTCTTTGGCACAGGTGGAATGAATTTATTAATAAAATCTCTTTTCTGGTCATGCAGAGTCCAAATTTGGTACCAATCCACTGACACAGACACAAAAGAATCACTAAGGGAGAAGTTTTCTTTCACCCTATTCCTTTTTTGCTGGTCTCCAGGAAATGGAAATTGCAAGATATAGACACAAACGTGGACTTCCTCATGGAATATCATAAATTACAGCCACAGGAAGAGCACCAGGACAACAGGGCTGCAAACACTGGAACCATTCACTCCTCTGACATAAACCTTGTCAATCATTAACCCCCTTCCACAAATAAAACACTCTGTGACACTTTGGGTGCTAAATTCTCCCAGAGAGCTCAAAAGCCACCCTGAGAACCAGAACTCTTCTCCAGGCAGATGCAAGACAGGGCACCACAAAAAAACACCAGCAAAGCCAATGAGAGCTGATAATTTGGCTATAAAATGGTGTTTGTTCATCCCCGAGGAAGAAATTAAAACACAAACAGTGTCGAGACTCTCCTGGCTCCCTCCCATTTCTGTTCTGTTCGCTCTGTATTTATCCACATCCGCAGCGAGCTGAGCTGAGCTGAGCTGAGCCTCCCCAGGCTGAGGCCCTGCCCAGGAAATGGGGTTCAGCTCAAAGGGAAGCAGCTTTAGGGATTTTAGAGGAGAGATGAGAGTGAGCTGAGCTGCTGCTGTGCTGGAGGAAGAGGCTCTTCTTCCTTCCTGCCACCTCTGCTGCAGCCACAGCTCCATTTTCAGCTTGCACAGGTGGGACGGGCTGGGTGTGAACACAGCCCCCCCCAACACCTGATCCTCCCGATTTGGGGCAGAAAATATAGAATCCATCCTGACGGGGCAAATCCAATTGGAAAGTTCTGATCATTGGGAGTGCAAAGGGAAAGGATGGGCTTGGAATGACAGAGCCATGGGGAGCCCAGGGGACGCCAAGGAAGGCCAGGTAAACTCAGGGGAGCCCAGAGCAGCTCAGGGAAGCTCAAGAAGCCCAGAGCAGCCCAGAGAAGCCCAGGGAAACTCAGGGAATCTCAGGAAAGGCCAGGGGAGCCCAGAGAACTCCAGGGGAGCCCAGGGAAGCTCAGGGAACTCCAGCGAAGGCCAGGTAAACTCAGGGGAGCCCAGAGCAGCTCAGGGAAGGCCAGGGAAACTCAGGAACTCCAGGAAAGGCCAGGGGAGCCCAGAGAAGCTCAGGGAACTCCAGGGGAACCCATGGAACTCCAGGGAAGGCCAGAGAACTCCAAGGAAGCTCAGGGGAGCCCAGGGAAGGACACCTGAGCAGCCTGGATGTCACACCTGTATTCAAATAAGAGAAGGCCCGGGAGCCTGGCTCCCCACCCGCTGACGCCAG